TACTTTTTACGACTGATCAGATTATTATTGAGCAGATCACTGCTGCTACCAAACATACGTTAGCAGTGGACACTTTCCATTAGAAGATTCTTGAGCAAACAGGCTCTCATTTATCACGTTTTATCTAACCTAGGAAGCTGTCGAGCTTATCTTAATTTTCTGTGAACATGCGATATTGTCAGCACATGGTCACTACTGATCTCTCGCTTGTTCTTTTCTTTTTTACGGCGCAACAACGGGTAGTGGCTATTGTTCTTTGAGCAACCGATCCTTCTGTTTATTAAATTAATAAGAGTGGCCGGGTGGATACTTTTGTTTAACTGCAATGAGCATAGACTCAACAGTGGTCCATGTTGTGTTTTACTGTATGTACTTTGCGACAAAGTGGTAATTCTTTTTTCTCGACTTATGGAGAACGTATCGGCACTTACAATGCCATCGCGTAGTGTGGCTTACTGTCTCTGAGGTAACCAGAATCTTCTTTCGTTGGGACGCAAATGAATCTTCTGTTGGGCACGTCACTTCTGTCCTGTTCGTCGGTCGCCAAAGAAAAACTCTACGTCCAGAAGGGTTTTCGTGATTTCAGCTGGAGCAGGTGGCGCCAGACTGATTTGCTTGTGAATTGGCATGTCCGGACTTGCAAGACCTCACATTCATCGTCTGCATTAGAACCGGATTTTAGTCTTTTGTGGTTACAATGACCATATGGAATGCGGCGTTTATTTCACTGATCACTTGGCAACTGTTGCGTTACGCAGCGCGTGGTATATTGCATCGACAACACAAGGGGTTATATCGACGCTCAGATCATCAGCGATGGACTCATTCTTTTTAATGTTACACTGAAGATGTGCCATAGACAACATTCGTGTTTTGATGATCACTTAAAGATAATAAGATTTAAAGAGCAGAGCTACCCAGACTGATGATATGTGACTCATTTGAATTGGTGCTTTAGTTATACACGAATGTTCACTGCTTCGGCAAAGCTAATATTCTTCCTCGAAAGCAAGTTTACCGTCTGTTTCAACAAAAGGTTTCCACGTTTCGCGTTTTCTGCAGATTTTCAGGCCAATGAACCCTTCCTATAAAAAACCACATAACCTATTACAGTGAAGCACCGTTCCTTTGGAACTTTTTAAATCGAAAGTGACGGGTTATTTCTATTAGCAAATTTCACTTTTCTAGGATCAGTGTTGACAACTCCATTTGCTTTGGTTTGTCAGTTTCTTTCGCTTGAAGGCTGATTTTTGTTACGTATGTCATCGAACGATAGGAAGAGTCTAAAAATGCTACGGAATTCTTGAAAGCAGTTTCTATTTTTAAAGCGATGTATTCAGAAATCTTGTTTGTTAGCCAGTTTGAAGGAGAGCTTTCTGAATTGTAAACTTTAAATTTGAGGCCGTAAGGGAGGTGTGCTTTCGCGTTTGCTGTTCAGGTTTGTTCTTGACTATCTATGAAACAGTGCTGACTCAAGGAAATATCAATTTCTTGAGTCTTTCAACGGAGAGACGCCGTTCAAGATATCCCGCTAGATATCTGACCTGCAGTGTGCAGATGATACTATCGTTGTGAGTAGACTTCGGGGAGCGAGCTTCGTCACCTGACCATTTCCATATATAACACAGCTGCAGAAGCTAGTTTCTCCTAAAATTCCTTAAGTCAGAAGTTAAACGTAACCAATCAAATGTGGCTAATTTATTCATGGAGCAGTGCGAGGAAGCCATACAGAACGTCAGCCAATTTAAATATCTCGGCTCAGTAATCGCCAGCGGTGGTACAATCTAATCAAAGTTTAATAGAAAGATTGCCCTCGCCATTAGTGCTTGCTTAGTAACCTCTTAACTATGTTGACCGGGAAAGGAGTAGCCCATTGCATAAAAATCCCCCTGAACCTTGCCTTCGTGAGGTGAATATTGTTGACATAGAAACAGCTGTTCTAACGAATGACCAAGAACGATTTTTGAATTAAGGCAAATAATGAGGGTTAAACGGCAGGATCACATAAGGAATGACTTTATTCTCCTCCAGGCATAGGTGAGTTCTGTAGATGGGGAAATTATGAAAAGGAGGTTCCCCCGGTTAGACAAACTGGTTAGCATAAGTCATTTACTTTCGTCATTAAGCTCCTTATGTAAAAGCCGAAATAGCAAAAGGTTGGCCAGAAAGAGCAAGGTGCAGGTAAGCCTACTCTTGGACAGGAATTGTTCCTTCAGCAGTAACCCTAGAACAAATGTTTTGAAAAAGACGAATCAACAGGCAGCATAAAAGCTGCTTACACGAATGGCTGAAGGTGATGATCTCACAAACAAAATTAAAAATTTCGGGATAAATTACGTTTTCTTTTAAATTAATTTATCGCCACAATCAGTCTGTTCATCCAGTCAGATAAAGGTTCTTTCCAACACTTTTTTAATAAACTTCTCTTATTTGCCATTTTCATCCAGTTTATCCAGCGAATTTCTTCAGATTATCCTGTAATCGATGAGGACATTTACTGTCTCATAGAATCTAGTCTGATGTCTTTAGTCCAGCGACGATCGATTCTTCTGAAATTGTACCCTACCAATGGCGACTTCTTTATTTTGACAATGACATAACAGATTCCTGTTTGAGTTCTTATGCGTTCATTCGTCTTTGTCAGACTTCTATTGTTATTACAAACACTTCTTTCTATGCCGCGTTGAGTATTGTAGAGTTTGTGACCAGCTTTCAGGCTTAAGACCCACAGGTTAGCACTAGGATCACACACTGATGGAACACTCCGTTTCAAGCACAAAGGTGTTTTCCCGGATAACAACATCTTCAATCTTCCAAAAGTGACCAATGTCATTTTTATTCTTACATTTCTATTTCCCATAGCCGGTTCTCAGTCACAGAGATGAACTGCCTCAAATAAATGTAGTTTTTTACTTCTATAGTTTAAGTCGGTTGATTTCCGTCGCGCGGTGACTAATTTGTTAACATGACCTGAGTCTTCTTCAAGTTCATTTTCAATCCCACTTTCATGTTTACGTCGTTCGTCTTATTTGATGTCTTCTAGTGCCCTTGAGAGGATGCAAATGTCATAGGCAAACGGCAACTGGCTTAGGTAGTACTCGCTTATGTTTAGCCCCTGATTCTTCAACGTTGTCTTAAAAACCTCTGCTAGGGCTACTGTGAATAACTTCGTTGATATTGTCTAACCCTTCGAACTGCTTTTTCGATTTTAAATTTGCATGTGCATTTATGGAGCTTCAAACTAACAGCTGCATTCTTCTAAATCACAACGATGAGGTCTCTATACCTTTTCTTCACTCCCTAGCTTCCCGTTACAGAACGAATCTATACCGAGCGAAGGCCTTCGTGAAATCGATCAACCTCAAGCAGAGAGCATGGTCATATTTATTTTTTGTTTTAATTACTTGTTGTGTCACTTCGAGATATTCCATCATAGTAAATCTACTTCTGAATCCAGCTTGCTGCTTTGGCCGTGTATTTTTCCATTTTTCCTTAAATATGTTATTCCTTCTCCCTTTTTTGAGTATAATTACGGATAGGGTAATCGAACTGTTTAAAAGTTCAGTTCCGTCAGAAGCCCGAAAACATGCGCCCTAATATCTTGGTCATGATTAAACATCCTATTCCACGAGGTCCATTGTAAGGTGTCTTCCGTACTGGGAGTTTTTCCTCACTCCTTGCATTCTGCACTTCGTCAGCTTCATTTCCATCTTCAGTTCTTGTCTTAATGTTTGTACAGCTTTCTACAGAAATGTTCCGCTCCCTCCAGAATTTTTTCTGTCGCAGATGACAGTCTTGTCTACAGAGTTAATATTCTCATTCTTTCATTTAATTTGTTCCTGCTGTGGTAGTTTTTAATCGTTTCCTGTATCAGCTTGTTTTATTCGCTTTCTTAAAGTTCCATATTCAACCTTTGATTTCTGATTCTTCTGTTTTCATTTCTCTTTCGTCTCTTCATGATTTCTTTTGTCTGCTTTGTCATTTTTCAGTCAGATTTTAATTCTTACCCGTTCGCCGTTTATGTAACTGCCTTCTTTATATCTTGATACATTATGTTAATGTATTACTATTATGCAATATTCACCTGCTTCTCTTGTTTTTTCTTGAATTCCGTGAAAAACGTCGAATCGGTTGCTTAATCTGAGTTGCAGTGGAGGTTCTAATTTAGCATTTTCATGTTTTAATTAATTAACAATCAAATAAACAAATTTTATACATAAGTACGTTGGTATTTTGTAAACTAAATCTTTACAAATCGTAATTCGATAAAAATTAGCTTTACGTTATGACATCAGATCTAATTCATATTTGTGAAAATGTAATGTTTAAAAAATCATGTGTGCTGCTACCTATTACTTTTGATACGTAACATTTACCAGGTAAAGTGTAAATGATTAGTGAAGTTACACTTTACTGCATTATTTGAAACTGGTACTCAGAAAATAAGTTAATTTTCAGATAGAGAGAGAGACAAATTTTAAAGAGATAAATTTTCAAAGAAAGATTTGTAAGATAAAAACTTACCTGAATAAAGAAGCAAAGTTTATAACCCTTGGATAGTGAGTCTTTCCTACACTTTTATGAGGCCATTTCTGGGAACTTATTTTCATGAAGTTATTAATGGAGCGTTGATCTTCATTTCAATGTCGTCCGCCAGGAATGGCTTATTTTAAAGGCACAGCCAACAATAGCTCCGTGGCAAGCATGTTGCATGATCTCTTGTTTCATCCCAACAGTGGTACTGCTTTATCTACCTCAGAAAGAAGAAAGTCGAGTGCTGCGACCGGGAATCTCCTGGTTTTTAGTCCTACGCCTACCGCTGAGCAACTACGGTTTAACCTGGGTTTATAGTTCAAAGCATTTTGGACATAGCACTTAGGAGACGTAATACAATACATTGCGCTATGGAATTCTCAGAAACGAGGGAGCAAAATTTCAGTACTAACTGCTGCCGTAAAAACTTCAGGCAGTTTTGAAAATAATTTATTTACAAACAACAGCTAAAATCCGCGCAATGTTTTAAACACTTCTGAAACCGAGCAACCGCTGGTCGGGAAACACTCAACTAATTGGAGCATTTTCAACACGGCCTGCGTATCCTCGACCGTACGACTTTTGACGTATATCCAGCCGTTGAGACCGCAGGCTATTTCGAAGGGCAGATCTTCGCCTATCGTCGAGAGAATAACGCTGTTCGGAGAAAGGAGCTTTCGGCTTACACCGGGCGAATAGCGCACCACCATCCCGCCTGGTGGAAGTACTCCCATACCCTTGGCCTTCCCGTCGGGGGTGACGCATACCAACTGCGGCTCGACCGTTTCTACGACCTTTGCGTAGATGACGTCGCCTAGCTTCAGGTCGGGACGGTTGCGCTTGGTGGCCCCCTCGAAAGCCATAAACGACAGGTTTGCAAGCATCGCACAGCCGATGTGTACTTTCCATCCGTCGGACAGCTGCTGTACCACCTGACCGACCACCAAGTCATCCAATACCGGCTCGTAACGCTTTTCGAAATAGTTAATCCAGACGTTACCTTCGTCGCGCGTCACAACACCGCAACGAAGGGCCACAACGTGGCCATCACAGACACGCAGACCTGGTCCAACCAACTTCACGTTTTTCAGTTGGTCGACCACGTCTCCCGGTACCACGACTTCGCCATTTGCTACGCTGACCATTTGATGCTTTCGTGATCTAATGCAAAACGAAGCCAATATAAAGCAGATTACAAAATACAAAAACAATTTAATAAGCATTAATGCTGAAGGAACTTTTCTCAATCGTTTAACCACCGGAGTGAAATGGACAACAGTTTCGCATTTTGCATTTTACAATTGCCGGTTAGAATTCGAGGAAGGTTTAGTTTTGTATTCACTAATTCATTTTTACTTAAGTATCCCTAAGGAACACAACAAGTAGCCATCCCATAAAACAGCAGAAAGCGATATTTACATACATTAGTAAACGAAAAAAATGAGGAGAAAAATGGGATGGTATTTTGTAGCTCTGGGAAAAGGGCGTCGATGACAGATTGCCTGCAGTCCGGGATGATGTAGATGTTGCCAACAAATATGCTAGAATACGATGATAAATACATCGGTCGATATTTCACAATAAGGCACGGCTGATCGCCGTCACTTTTCAGCTAATAAAACCACCAAAAGGTGATTTCAACTGCAAATGATGATCTAATCTTTCACATCCAGAAATCTGTCATCGTTGCTGCTGAGCAGCCATACTTTCTGCAGCAGAATCACCTCATGCATGTGTTGCTGAAAAGCGAAATCGACAAAGGGGTCTTCGGCGGTTTACATCGTCCCTTTTCTACATCGCGTCTTGCCTTCAGAAGGCATACAACAGTCGAGATTTTTAACACAAGGGAGGAATGGCGCGTAAAGCATGTTAATGCGCTCGAAGTTGACCTGGCCTCATAAGAGCGATGCGACAACCGACCACACGTCAAGTCGGTTATTTAGTTCAAATTCACCGGGGTTTAGTTCCATTTGTGAAATGATGAACGTAAAGCATAACAATCACTTCCTTTGAACAAATAAATCCCCTCACTGTGATTTATCACAAAGAATTGTTCTGCGTCTTTGCGGCGGACCCTCGGGATTAACGGCAGAGACGAAATTATTTACTGCAGTTTCTTTTCTACCCTACCATCCAAAATACGCTTCAGCAGAACTTAACCAACACCGGTCCACGCGGTTTAAAATTCTCCATAAATTCAGTAGAATAAGCTCTGTCCGGCTGGGTAACTTTTCCGTCTCTATTTTAAAGGAAAGATCTTGTCGTTCGGAACAACAGGAAAATTCTGAAGAAGTAGAACATTCAGCCATGAAATTATTTTAAATAATACTTTGGGTGTTTGATTCTGGGCAGCCTTGCCCTAAAGATGCCGCGGTCTGTGTAGCGAAACACGTCGGCAAAAAACTGTTGTACCATCTGCCGTATTCTGTGTCCTGAATCATGACACCTATCTAAGAAGTTATTTTATATGTAGTTTTCATTGTGTCTGTTTTTCTACCTGTCTGACCTCCCCCCTCCCG